GACATCATGTCAATTTTGGAGGGTGACATTAAATAAGCTACTAGAAAATGCTTTCAGTCCAAATAACAAAGAGGAAATAAACTTAACTTTAGGTAAAGTACATATTAGCCCATGCAAGTTTCAATATGTGCATTAGCTATTTAGCAAACTAAATTGATGATCTTTACCTTAAATTCCTGCTGTTTGGCCATCATCACAGGCATGTGCTTCACAAGGAGTGGATGTTTCTCTTTTTTAATCTGATTCCCGTCATCATCTATGCAGAACCAACCCAGCAGATTTTCATCAGCTGTAATGGCAAAAGGGAAAAAAGAAATGTCTTTGTTTTTCAATAAGTTATTGCTATGTTTTTATGTATCAAATTAAATAGACATTTATTTTCTAGCAACTGTCTCTGTAGAATAAGCAAGTAATCAAATGTTTTCTTTTAAATGCCCACAAAGTTGTTTAATACATAAAGGCATAAAGGTTAAAGTTAATAATGGGAGGTTCTAGAGAAACTTTGCAGCCTTATCCTGCTTAAATCTAGAAGGCAACATTTACGTATTCAAAAATCACGTTTTAAAAGATAACCAATATTTAGAAAATCTCTAGAAAAAATTTCTCATGCAGATATCTATTTAAAAGATGACCTTCCAACAAATATATTAACTTAAACAGTCTTGTAAAAGAGTGTTCACATGGACACACAGAGATGTGATGGGTTAATCCTTCTATAGATCTTAACTTCAAGGACTGTTAGGCTACTTCCAAAGCAGAGCGAATGCATCAATATAATGAGAAGATATAGTGTTTATTATATATATTATAGTAATAATAATATTATATATTAAATAATAGTATATTATTATACTATTACTATATTATAGTAATAATAATATTATATATTAAAGAAGGGAGAGAGAAAAAAAAGGAATCAATATTTTTGCCAGCAGGAGAAACCCCAGCATTACCACCATGCATACACAGAATAAAATAGCAAAAGGATAGACAAAGAAGTTCAAATCAATGCATAATAAGGTTATAGTAAATGTTCCCCCTGTCCAGTCATGTCCGACTCTAGTGGGCAGTGTTCATCTCCGTTTCTTAGCTGAGGAAGCCAACGTAGTCCAAAGACATTTCTGTGGCCATGTGGTTACTATGACCATATGTCAAAGCACGTACCTTCCCACTGAATTGCTATTTATCTACTCGCTTTTGAATTGCTAGGTGGCCAGGAGCTGGGGCAAGTAATGGGAATTCCCCCTGTTCCACGGTACTACAGTCTCAAACCTGAGCTGTCAGCTTTCCTGCTGACAAGCTCAGAGTCTTTAATGGCTGAGCCATCGCGCCCTTTCAACTATAATATAAATTAGCAAAAAAAGCTTGACTACATCTAGCTTCATATTTTCATTAGACTAATTTCTTCGTAGCTGCTGACCTTATTCCAGGATTGAAACGGTTGATCCTAGAGATTCCTGGCAAAGAACAACTGATTTTCTCTCTCTCTCAATTGATTGTTTTTGAATTTGCTGGTCACTATCTAGAATAAATTAACTGATTCTCTGTTAAGTGTTTCTCTCCTTTGCCACAAATCATTCAGAAGGCAAAGCTAACTGTCCTTTAGTTTAATTTATGTAAGTTTCAAGCACAAAGAAAAAACTTACCTAAAGCAAGCTTAGCCATTTGTAAACTTCTGATCCACGACTGTTTGATGGCAGGTGTAAATGTATTGAACACAGCCGTAAAGAAAGTAGGCCGTCCTGATCTATTAAAATTAAAGAAAGTAAGTCAGTGCATATTCCTGCTACATATAAAATAAAAGTATTCCATATGCTCTTTTATCAAGATGAAAACAACTATTCATTAGCTACAACTGTAGCACCAAATAAATTATTATACATTCTACTGAACAGCATTAGTATTTTTTACAACATTGAAAGGTACACTTCCATAACTTGCAAATAGGTTTTATTTAATGCCTATCTAAGTAAAGGCCTATCAACTCTCCCAGAGTTGGGAAACATTCCTGTTTCTGTATTTTGGGACAAGAGGCTGATATTCATAGTCATTGTATCCCATTATTCTGACTCCATTCGTAGCATAAGTGATCAATGTCCTATATTGGTAACCTTGCACAGCCTTTCAGACAATTGTGCTTCTCCTTCCACTGAGGAATACAAGTTATGTCAGAGTTGTGATACTATCTCTTTTACCTGTGGGTTGCTGCTGGTGTAAAATCAAAGCTAGCAGATTGGTACAGTATTGGCATACTGAAACAGGGTTACAGAAATTGACCAGATTAGGATTTCTTATAACTTCTGAAATATGTTAGAGAATAAGAAAATAATAAGCAGTCAGGCTGAGGGGGACACAACTGTCCATTCTCATACAAGGAAAGGAAGTTTGATTCCTTATGAAGTTCTGTTTTTTTAAATCTGTATCAAATGTCTAGAGAAGGAGGATTGCTGGCTCAACTGCAAGTAGTCCTCTACTTACAACCACAATTGAGCCCAGAACTTTTGTTGCTAAGTGAGACATTTGTTAAGTGAGTTTTCCCCCATTTTTACAATCTTTCCTGTTGTATTTGTCAAGTGAACGACTGCAGTTGTTAAGTTAGCAACATGGCTGTTACTGGATTCCCCATTGACTTTGTTTGTCAGAAGGTCGCAAAAGGTGGTCACATGATCCCGGGACATTACAACCATCATAAATATGATTTCTTATATAAGAAATCCTAAATGTGAGTCAGTTGCCAAGCATCTGAATTTAGATCACATGACCATGGGGATGCCGCAACTGTCGTAAGTGTGAAAAGGGGCCATAAGTCACTTATTCTCTGTGCCACTGTAACTTTGAATGGTCACTAAACAAATTGTTGTAAGTTGAGGACTACCTGTATACGCATATACAGAAAAGACATTGAACTAAATAAACACAGCATCGGTTAGCTAATGGGATTTTATTTCCCTTGGGACACCTAAAACACTTCCTACTTCTGTAGTTATGAGGTGCATGCTGCCTGCTCACATCTTGAACGTAATATAAATTATTAGGTACTATTTGCCTGCAGCTTATTAAGCAGCAATTAGGGAGTCCTTGAAAACTGCTGCCAGAAAAATGTCTCACATATAGAGACAGATCTTATCAAGACCTGCTTCCTAAGCACATGGCTATCATACTTATTTTGCGTCACTAAACATGATCCTCCTCTTCCTCCTACCCAGAAGCTACATTTTACTGTGCTGGCTTTCATGACAACGTCTCCCTCAGGTGCTTTCCAGAAAATGTACGTCTCCTCTCTAGCTCAAGGTTGCTACTAACTTGTCCTGTTTTCCTGGAAGCTGAAGCTGAATCCGACAGCGGTCTGCAGCTCTAATTTCATCTTCTTTTTTCAAAATGAGTTTCTGCAAACCTGAGGTCCAATCATGAGCCACCGATTGATTTAAATTCTGGTGGAGCAACAACAAGAAGAACAAATGTTGAAGTTCATACAATGTTACATTACGTTTATTTCGCCCGTGGTATCAAAAACCTGTGAGGCTGGGCTGCAAGCCATTTTAAGATACATCGTCAGAATTTAAGCTAGAATTTCCTTTGCAGATGCTACCTGGAAAGGCCTGCATTAAATAGCAGAAGTCTACTGCCATTCTATATCATTTTTACTTGAAAGGGACACAGGCACAAACATGTTGTAGAGCATGGATTAAAACAAGAGAAAAAAAAACATGTTATAGGATTAAATAATGCTTAAACAGGCTTGATAGCACAACGCCCCATGCTAAAGAAATACTGTTATTAATTCATGATACAAGCGTATGACATTTTCCTTAACATCACGGAATAAAAATACCCTATTAAATGCCCTATGCTTAGACTGCACATACGCAAATAGGTTAAGTACAACAAACTCAGCAAGGCATTGCTAATCTCCTTACAACTCTCCAGTTTACCATTTAGCAATAATCGCATTAGTATCGCACAAAAGAGGAAAGGTGTTCGTTTAATCTGGAAACTTAATTCTACAGCCATCACTTAATTACCTGGTAGTTTCCCTTCAGACTGCATACTAGTTGACTGATTTGGCCAACTACATTCAAGTCATGTAAGAGGTTCTGCAAATCACTGTACAGTTGCCCTGGTCCCATATAAAGCTTATCTAGAACATAAAAAAATATGTAATTAAATATGTTTATAAAGTAAGACAGTTATTAGACAAACAATACACTTTGCAACCAAAGTTATCAGAATAGTACCTAAAGTGGATATACACACCCCCTATCAAAGTGTCAGGTTTTTGAGATGTAAAAAATACAATTTATAAGCTGTACAATTCAACTGAAAAGTAAACTAAAATCTTGTAGGAGGAAAAATAACAATAAAATAATGTATAATAATGTGGTTGCATAACGTGCATATCCCTTATAAGTAGGCATGTGGCTGTGCTGAGAAATAACCAATCACATTCAAAGTGATGTTAAATAGTAGTCCGTAGACACCTGCCATCAATTAGTGTCATTCTAATCAAGCCCATATAACAGTCAGATGTTGTAGTAGGGTTTTTCTGACATTTACTCAGTTGCCTCTTATAGCAAAAGCCATGGTCTACAAAGAGCTTACAGATCTCATTGTTGGAAAGTATCAGTCAGGAGAAGGATACAAAAAAAATTTCCAAGGCATTGGATATACCACGGAACATAGTGAAGACAGTCATCAACAAGTGGGGAACTCATCAAATTTGCAGATGACACCAAGCTGGCAGGAATAGCCAACACTCCAGAAGACAGGCTTAAGATAGAGAAGGATCTGGACAGACTTGAACACCGGGCACTATCTAACAAAATAAAAGTCAATGGTGAAAAAAGCAAGGTTCTACATTTAGGCAAGAAAAACCAAATGTACAGGTATAGTATAGGGGGTACCTTGCTCAATAGTAGTAACTGTGAGAGGGATCTCGGAGTCCTAGTGGATAATCACCTAAATATGAGCCAGCAGTGTGCTGCAGCTGCCAAAAAGGCCAACACAGTGCTAGGCTGAATTAACAGAGGGATAGAATCAAGATCACGTGAAGTGTTAATACCACTTTACAATGCCTTGGTAAGGCCACACTTGGAATGCTGCATCCAGTTTTGGTCACTGCGATGTAAAAAAGATATTGAGACTCTAGAACAGGTCCTCAACCTTGGCAATTTTAAGATTTGTGGACTTCAACTCCCAGAATTCCTCAGCCAGCTTTGCTTTGCTGGCTGAGGAATTCTGGGAGTTGAAGTCTACAAGTCTTAAAATTGCCAAGGTTGAGGACCCCTGCTCTAGGAAGAGTACAGAGAAGAGCAACAAAGATGATTAGGGGACTGGAGGCTAAAGCATATAAGGAACGGTTGCTGGAATTGGGTATTTCCAGTTTAATGAAGAGAAGGACGAGGGGGGACATGATAGCAGTGTTCCAATATCTCAGGGGCTGCCACAAAGAAGAGGGAGTCAAGCTATTTTCCAAAACGCCTGAAGGCAGGACAAGAAGCAATGGATGGAAACTAATCAAGGAGAGAAGCAACCTAGAACTAAGGAGAAATTTCCTGACAGTTAGAACAATTAACCAGTGGAACAACCTGCCTCCAGAAGCAGTGAATGCTCCAACACTGGCAGTTTTTAAGAAGAGACCGGACAGCCATTTGTCCAAAATGGTATAGGGTTTCCTGCCTGAGCAGGGGGTTGGACTAGATGACCTCCAAGGTCCCATCCAATTTATTATTATTATTATTATTATTGTTGTTGTTGTTGTTGTTGTTGTTGTTGTTGTTGTTGTTGGAGAAAATATGGTACAACACCGAAATTACCAAGAACTGGATGTCCGTCCAAAATTGATGAAAAAACAAGAAAAAAAACATCCAAACTGGCTACATTTTGCAAAAAACTACTTCAATTCTGACAAAAGCATGTGAGAAAATGTGTTATGGTCTGACGAGACCAAGGTTGAACTTTTTAGCCATAATTCCAAAAAGTATGTTTGGCGCAAAAACATAGCATCATCAAAAGTACACCATACCCACAGTGAAGCATTATGCTTTTGGGCTGCTTTTGTTCAGCTGTAACTAGGGTTTTACTCAAAGTGGAGGGAATTTATAAATAGTTCCAAATATCAGTTAATTTTGGCACAAAATCTTCAGGCCTCTGCTAAAATGCTGAAAGTGAAGAGGAATTTTACCTTTCAACATGACAAAGACCTAAAGCATATCTCCAAATCAACAAAAGAATGGCTTCACCAGAGGAAGATCAAAGTTTTTGAATGGGCCAGCCAGAGGCCTGGTACGATTTTAATTGAAAAATCTGTGGGTGACCTGAAGAGGGTTGTGCACTAGGAGGACTTTGCAAGGCAGAGTGCGCAGAAATGCCCAAGGCAAGATGCCATGCCAATAGGCTCCTATCTCAAAAACTGAATATTGTCATAAAATCAAAAGGTCTTCAAAAAGTATTAGTTTAAGGGTGTGCACACTTATGCAACCATTTTATTATAGGTTTATTTTGATTTTTTCCCCACTAAAAGGTCCCATTTGCGCATGCATGTGGGGCTAGTGTGGCGGCTAGTGCCTACGCGCCTGTACAACCCATTTGTACAGGCGCGTAGGCACTAGCCGCCACACTAGCCCCACATGCATGCGCAAATGGGACCTGCAACCGTGTGCATGTTAGTGGCTCCATTTGCAGACGTGCAGGTGCTAGCCACCGCCACTAACCCCGCGTGCATACGCAAACGGGTCTGCAGGTGCTAGCATGAGTGGGGGTGAGCCACCCTGTCCCGTGGCCCAGTGGCCAGTAGGCCACAGCCCAGTAGGGTGCTGCGGCCCATAGGCTGGGGACCCCTGCAATAAACACTGTAAAAACAATGGTTTTCTCCATTTCATTTTATAAAATTCAAACTCTATTTTCAATTTAACTATTAATTCTTTCAAAAACATAACAAAAACTCATCCAAATATCATACCCAACCTAATCCAACCCTAAATTAAAGTAAGTATTAGGCTGCAATAATTAAATATTAATTACATTGATTAAATTGCTAACAGATGATCAAATGATTAACTATAATTTATTCCTTTATCACAAAGAGGATATAATGTGATCTTTCTATATTTTGGAATTTAAGTTACAGCCATGCTTTTCAGAGAAAAACTGAGAACACTTTGGTTCAATCAGTGTTTTAAATATATCGAATTTAGGTATTTGTTTTTCTCTATCATAAACAGAACAATAAAGAGTCCACATCTGATATCAAACTGACAAATGGCAGCATCAGTGGGAATACATTAAACAAAAGTAAGTGCCAGAATCAGCAGAAACACAAGCTAAATAATTTGGTTTCAGCAATTAGAAAGACAATCTGTACATTCTGGGTATGTTTCTGAAGAAGAAGAACTTAATTAGAAGGGCAGTCTTCCAATTACATGTATCTCAATGATTTAGCATATAAATCGGAGTAGATTAGTCTATTTGTATATATTATGCAATCAAAAGAAATTGTTAATCCCAAGTATCTTTTAATTTCCATGTATGATTGCAGAACAGCACAGCAGAACAATATCACTTCATGTCATATTTAAGACTGTGCTCACCATCTGTATTTAAATACTTATAAACATGATTCCTTTTTAAAAAGATCTACTATTCAATTAATCAGGAGTGTGTACAGCTATTAAGATGTTTGTGTTTTTAACTGATCAAATGAACTGATTAAATAAGCAGTATAAACTTTAAATAAATCTGTATGCAGGCTTTAAGATTAGAAGGCAATGCTTATTATTTAATATATGTTTCATAAATGTGCTTGAGTATACACATTTAAGAATGTAAGAACCCAGAGTGCTAATAAATATCTATTCTGATTTTGTTTTTCATTCTAGATAAGAGCATGCTTATCCCTGAGCAATTGTAGCATTGTTTTCTGTAATTATGTACAATATATAACCCCCTTTCTTAATCTGGGGTACTCTAAATGTGCAGAATTTCAATTCCATCCCACAATTCCCCAGCCAGCTTTTGAAAGCGTGTTCTAAACCTTTCTGGTAAGGTATCCGTTTTTAGACATTATTTATGTCATTGTATCAATAGTAATTAATAACTTTTAACAAAACCCTCACTTCCTTATCGAAGGTGCAATGGAAAGAAACCGACTTAATGTAATTGACTTTATCAATGTCTCCGAGTCTGTTTTACAAGAAAACTTACAGGAGATAACTGGTATCCCTTTGGAAGGTTGCTTAAAAAACAATTAAAGTACTTAAGGATAAAGAAAATGAAAAAGGGAAAGCAAATTAAGATGTGGGCAGATTCATAAGGGTGAAGTGTAGGGATGTTTTTTTAAAAAAAATATTGCTGTTCTTTTCAATTTTGCAACTTTTCAAATAGAAATAAAGGCAAATTTCAAAGAAGTTCTTTTATCTTTTGAGATTCAGCATAAATTGAATTTTCATTTTAGGAAGATGTTACTATTTTTAATTTTTGTATGTATATAACAATGTTCAGATTAAATCACAAGCATAGTTGATGACAACTTGTGAATATGCCTTGTCATGCCAGCTGGTCCTTATCTATTGCACAGGGTTTTTTTTGTGCAGCCACACATATTTCTGGGGAAAAATAGCTTTAAGAAGCCACAGATAGGTTCTACATGCCTATTCCCATGTGCTACAAAAACCAGCTGCGTTTAGATATGTTTACAACTAATCATAACCTGTGGTAAATCATGTTGTCCAAACATAGTTATAATTAATGCAGTTATACAGTATTTACATAAGCAGTACAGAAACAGCAGCACAGGAAAAAGAACCAAGGACCATTAGACTTCAGTGGATGAATTTTGGACTTTTGACAAAATCTGAGTTCAATTTCCTACCCAATGAATGGATAGTTACTATGCATATGCAAAATAAAATGGACACACAAGGAAGATAAGATTCCTGGAAATAGTTACATTATTAGGGTAAAGCATACAAAGAAGTCGTATTATTGACGGTGACAGTAATTATGAAGAATATTGTGAAGGCACCACAGGCCATATAGTTTTCATTAAGCCATAAAGTATATTTGATTTTTCCCCCCACCTTTATTACTTATATAAGAAAACGCAAAATAGAGAACATACACAATATTCCTCCCTCCTCTTAT